AACTTAATCCAGTTTTATGGTGATGTTTCTGAGCGTTTGATTCTCTTTGGTTAGTGTAGTCTTGGATTCCAGTTTTAGCTTAGGTTCCAAAGGATTGGTGATGCGCTTCGTTTAATAGGTGTAGAGGGCATCCTTCGCTTGCAGCTTGTTGGCTCTTTGGCTTTCGTTAGGCTTTAGTTCATGCTACCGGATGAACGTGCTTGTTTTAGTGTGGTTGGCATCTCTTCAACCTTTCAAGGTGCTTCTCCTATTCTACCTTTCAGATTGACTATTAGCACGGAAATTGCATGATCTTTATCGCTATTTTTTCGGGACTGGATGTTTTACATCATAAAGCCCCGAACGTGTACCGATTGTATGTTGTTTTTATGTTTAAACCTTTTTTGCCATGGGATCAACCTCTTAGGTGTTTCAATTTATTCTAGTAACAATTTGTAATCTCTGAACTTTTCATTTTTATTAATGATATTTACAATTTAGAAAAAAACAAAAAAACTATCATTTGCACGAGTCCATCGAGTACAAATTTTTTTCTCTAGTCCGTGCATCAATATTTTGGCATTAGCCATTGGTTACGAGTTGATTTTCTAGGCGCAATGATGTGAATTTTTTTGTTGAAAAAAAGATAGAATAATTAAAGTAATGCTTTGATACCAAATTACCAATTGTTGGTCCTAGATCAAAAGCTAATTAAACTCAAAAACACAATAACACTTTTGGCAATTAAGATTACACTTATTTTTGGCATTTATCATTAATTAATTAAATAGACTCTTACAATAAACAAACCATGGAGTCGTAGCTCCTACACAAACATGAAATGGGAAATAGAAGAAGTGGTTTTCCTAAACAACAGGAAGACCCTTTCTTCTTATTGACTCAGCAAGAAACTCAAAGACTAAACAAATTAAAAAGAAAAATTGAAAGGAAATCAACTAATTACATATCATAAAATGTTTACCTTTTTGGCGCTAATACCAAATTAAAAAACTCTTACTGCCATATAATAGTCCCATTACTTCTAGACTGGTACAATTTAACCGCGGATGACTAATTCAGTAGAGCCATATTTTTTCTTTCTCTTAACGAGAGCTTCCGATTCGCACAGTCTTTAAAAACGAACCGCTTTTGGTTATTTCTCGTAATGGTTTATCGGTATATCTAACCGTGTTATATACCCATGCACCCGAAATCGCGCCAAGAATTGGAGAAACTATGTAGATCCACAATCCTTTATAGCAACCAAATACCATTGCAGGTCCTAAACTTCTTGCTGGATTCATCGAGGATCCTGATATCGCTCTGAAAATGAAAAAAAGATTTAAGTATAATTATTTTCAAAGTTTTTTGTCGAAAAAATATGCGCAATATCATATATAGGCACGTAGTAAATTACCCGTCAAATAGCACGTTAATTAACACCGTTGCTCCTATTGCTAGTCCGGCAAGTTCTCCGATCTGTTTTATTGTAACATTTGGTCTCAGTGTTAAGTTTCTCATAAATTGGTAATAACACTAGCGTATGCATGTAGTCTATTTTTCACAAAGCCAAACATTTAAATGTGCATTAGTCCGTGAATAAGATTTTTCAAAACTAAAGTATGTAAAAAGGAGTATATATATTAGCTAAAACTAAAATGAACATGCTTAAAATAGTAAAAATCCCCAACATGTAGCCATCAAATTTGACTATAATCTCACTGAAATATAAGAAGATTATGAAATACTAACCGCTCTATTATCAGTTGCAACGCCGGAGGTCACGAACATTAGGAAGAAAGTGACGATAAACTCCATCACAACCGACTGTAAATTCGTTCCTGACGGTGCATTACCGATGAATACGTCATGTTTTCCGCTGCAAACGTCGTGATCGAGTCCGAACACCAGCCTTAAAGTTGCCGCAGCGAGCGTCGCTCCGATCACTTGTGATATCACATAAGCCGGAACCTAAAAAAAGAAAGAATTTTTAGGGACTCAATTTTGGAAGATTGCCGAGGTGAAGATTTTGACGTTTAAATAACAAATCTGGATTGACTAAATGATTGAGTAATTAATGAGTTTGTCTGGATATATTATTTTAAAAGAACTAATTTTACAAACTAATACTTTTGTAAATTAAATTTGGAAACTACTGTATGTTCTTTACTCTTAGACGTATCTTATAAAATAACTTGCACTGCACTCATCTAAACTAAAAACGGACATCTCACCAATTAACATACACGGATCATTCAAATAAAAATAACTTAAAAGAGGTATCGGTATAAAAACGTTTAGAAAAATACTACTCCTTACAG